CAGGCTCTGCTCTCAGCCATCTATTTGGGCTCAAGGATCTCCCTGGTCTTCACAGGGGTTACAGTGAATTCCTTTCTGCATCCCAGGCTTCTTCCCTTGCTCCATGGAGTTCTATAGTCCATTTAGTGATTCCCTTATTCCTCCACAACCATCTTCCTGAGATATATGCCATCGCTCTCCCAGCTGTCACACCAGGCTGTTTAAATGGTCCAGCCTTCCTCTGCCCAAACTTCCTCCAGGCTCCACTGACGTGTAGTGGCTAATGTTCGCCCACCAAAAGGGATGAGGCTTGACAGGAAGTGTCAGATTGAAGAGACAGAACCACCACAGAAAATTTGTTGAAGCAAATTAAGGTAAAGGTAAAGGTACCCCTGCCCGTACGGACCAGTCTTGACAAACTCTGGGGTTGTGCGCCCATCTCACTTAAGAGGCCGGGGGCCAGCGCTGTCCGGAGACACTTCCGGGTCACGTGGCCAGCGTGACAAAGCTGCATCTGGCGAGCCAGCGCAACACACGGAAACGCCGTTTACCTTCCCGCCAGTAAGCGGTCCCTATTTATCTACTTGCACCTGGGGGTGCTTTCGAACTGCTAGGTTGGCAGGCGCTGGGACCGAGCAACGGGAGCGCACCCCGCCGCGGGGATTCGAACTGCCGACCTTTCAATCGGCAAGCCCTAGGCGCTGAGGCTTTTACCCACAGCGCCACCTGAAGCAAATTAGGCTTCAACAAATATGTGTTGGGCCACATATGCCAAGGGTAACCTGCCTCAGGATTACATCATCTATTTAGGGTGCTAGGAGAAGGTCGGGGTCTTCTGAAGAGTGAAGATGAAAATATTGCATGTGAGGAGAAAAGCATGATTAAGTTTGGAAAATTAATGGTCTTAACATGCCTAATTTTCTGATTATTCTCATTTGAATCTATTATATTTAGTAAATCTGAGCCAAACATTTCCTTTTTCATTCAATGTTTGCATCTTACATATAATTTTTAATTTTAAAGTCGCAGCAACAATTCCCCATTCTGAATAACAGCTATGAATGCTTTTTATTTTATTTTTAAAAAATGATGAGACTTTTTAAAATGCCAATCTTCAAAAGTCAAATAAAACACAGTAGCACTGAGCCAAATTTGACACCTGCAAATTAAGACGATGATTCAAAGGTATTTACTGAGAAACTCCAGATAGAGCTGGGTTTCTAAGTTGTTCTCTTACTTTGTTATTTCTTTTTGTTTTCTTGCACAGAAGCTCCCCTGTTGCACCTCATAAGCATGGAAGGATGCCATTTTTAAAAGAAAAATTAAAGGCCCACCTGCACAAGAAAACCCCTTGCAGAAGCATAATGAGGCTTGTTTAGGCAGACTCCCCTGAGTATTAATTATTCTTTCCTTGAACAACTCAGGTCTGTAAACTTCTTAAAATGCAACCATTCATTATTTATTCAAAAGCTGATATTGTATTGTGTGGGGCAGTGCAAATTTGGCTAATAAACTTTCCGCTAATCCAGAAGTAGGTCAGACTTGATTTATCTTTATGAATACCCACCCCGCCCCCGCCCCCATATACATACATACATACACACCAGTCTACTTAAATCCTTTCCTGTTTTTCTCTGGGCTGCTGCTAAATGGCTATAAGTATCCAGAAATTTGACATTATAATTCAAGTTTGTAGTGCTGAGCAGGACATGTCACTAGAAAGTTGACCAACTCAGAATGAAATCTGTTGCTTGGAACTTGACCATTTTTGCTCCAAATCATTGCACTATGTTGTGCAACTTTGCCTACAACCACGGAGGTGCGTCAGTGATAGAACTGGTCTATCCCAACAGTTACAGACAAGGGTGAAAGGAGGGCAGTGTGATTCTTCTGCCCTCCAAGCTTTCAACTGCTGGCATAGGAATACACCACTGGCTGACTTTAGCAAGGCAACCTTATTCCCATGATGCAAGCTCAGTCATGAATCCATTGGTTAAACATCTGACAGATGGTGTGAGAACTGAGGAGGCACCAGAGGTCTCAGAGCCCTTCACCCTCCTTAACATCCGCAGTCTTCATTAGATTGTCTTCCAGTGATCACCCAGCTGTTCCACAACACTATTATGAATTACTAGGGACACTGTTGTGGAATGCCCTTCCAGAGATGGTCAAGTGGTATGTTTTCTTTCTTGCATTTTTAAAAATAAAATATTTGTGACTTCCCCCCAGCCTTCCCCCCACCCCCCAATGATTGTTTACATCTTCTGATCAACCTGTCAGAGACCTGTAAAGGCCTAACAATATGACGCTGTCTTGAATGCTGCCTGTCATGTTCTGAAGAGCTCCATGCTTTGTTTAGTTAAAGCGGAGGAACATAGGTGGGTATTTTTATAGTACAGTACCTTAAATGAGGCTTTAAACACTTTTTTAAAACAATCCTCCACTGCTGTACATTAACAACAACAACAACAAAACAAAACAAAAAATATCCAGAGTTCCACAAGTAATATTTTCAACAGCCTTGCTTCTTGCAAAGCCTATGGATCCAAAGAACCATAGAGATATTATATAAGAAACATAGAAAGAGTGTGGGACCTAATTGGACTGAAACCCCACACAGAGGCGATGCCCACTCCCAGTACTTGGTGGCATGCAGCCTCTGAATATGGAAGACACCCAAAAGAACTGATGATGAAGCATGCATATGAATGCAGGCCATTGTGTTTCATACCCAACACTATAAAATAGCATAAAAAGGTAAAGGAACCCCTGACCATTAGGTCCAGTCATGACAGACTCTGGGGTTGCGGCACTCATCTCGCTTTATTGGCCGAGGGAGCCGGCGTACAGCTCCCGGGTCATGTGGCCAGCATGACTAAGCCGCTTCTGGTGAACCAGAGCAGCGCACGGAAATGCCGTTTACCTTCCCGCCGGAGCGGTACCTATTTATCTACTTGCACTGGCGTGCTTTCGAACTGCTAGGTTGGCAGGAGCAGGGACCGAGCAACGGGAGCTCACTCCGTTGTGGGGATTCGAACCGCCAACCTTCTGATTGGCAAGTCCTAGGCTCTGTGGTTTAACCCACAGCGCCACCCGCATCCCACATAAAATAGCATAGAAACATACAATACAACCAAGAGCAATTTGCCTTGCCAGCCACTTTGATCTGAGCTAAGCAGGAACAGAGTGAGAACCTTGATCATGTGACCATCGCAGATCAAAGCTACATGGGAAATGCCAGTCATGGGAAACTTTATCTGTTAGTACTACTCAACTTGACTTCTTTGTAGTTATTGTTATCAACAAGTTTAAAAATCACAGCCTGAAGTCATCTATATATCAAGATAAACATGAAAGAATATACAATATGTACAAGTTATTTAAAAAACCCACACACAAAAATAATGTATGTATTGTTAATGATTGGGTCACATCTCAAGGAAAATGTTGTTAAGCAAAACATATCTTCAGTGGGCACCTAAATGCAATTATGCCATGTGCATGTTTCATTTGGGTTAGTAATTGATTCCAGAGGCCTGGAGCCGCAAAACTGAAAACCCGGTTTCTAGTACAAACTAAGCATGCCTCAGTGTTCCATCTGAGATGTGCAGTTGCCTAGGAGGTATACATGGGTGAGGCAGTCCTGTAGATAGCAGTGTTGCCTCAGTTTGTTACAGCACCTTTCAATTTGCTGATTGCAGCTACAGTTCAGAATCAACTCAGACTCTTTCCAGTACAAGAAAAAGACAGCCTGCTGTCTCCAGCTAAATATGCAACAGCTTTGGAACAATTTTGTGATGTCTGGAAATTGTGCATCTCTTACTGGGAGCATCTACTTAGTGGGCCCAGTGAAGTCAAATACCAAATAATTTAGGGCATCAATAAAAACAACTTAAGGTTCCAGAAAATTAGCTGTAGTTTGTCACAACATGGGCTTTGCAAACTCACTAAGCACAGAGAAAACATGGATGGCAACTGCGCGAGCAGGTGTGGGTGGCCACTCCATACTCTGGATCACTATTTTGACATGTTTGCCAGCTGGTAAGTGAATGCAGAGCATGAAATCAGACTTGGAGCAATCCAATGTTGGATTATTCTCAGCTGATACTGGCTGAGAGAAGATGGCCCTTTTCCCATCAAATAAGCACAGAACCACAACTCAATTCATTTCCCTAGAGCTTAGGTTGTCACTCCAATATCCTGGCTCCATCAAATAGTTCCTCTGTGTCCATCCAGGCATAATGCCTCTAGATAGTCTGCAGCCAACCTGCAGCAATCTTTGGCCGTATGTTGAAGCCCTGAAAATCGGCTCTTATTTTTAATATTTAGCATGCATTTAATGGCAATGTTATATAGAACCCAAAGGTGCTTAGTTTCACCATGCAAAGGGCCAATAAAGGAATGACTTTGGAGGGGTTCAAAACAAAAATGAACAGGAATACCTATGAGTTTGAAGATGTTCTTTTACACAGCCACCTAGAAATGTGGACTGAATTCTTAAGGTTGCTTCGGTCGCATCAGAGCTGATGCAGTACATCTCTTTCTCATATTACTCTGTCTCTAACACTCTGTCACCAATGTCAGGTCTTAAATCATGTGGGACAAGTTTGAGACTTGGCTCTTCCTTGCTAACATTAGTTAAGCTACCAGGAGGGAAGTGCCTGAGTTGCTGACCTGGGGCAGTGCGGGAAGGAAACCCACAGAGGGAATGTTAGGCCAGGCTCTAGGAACCCCAGATTATCATTTTCTCCCACTTGTATGCAACTGAATGCTAAAAGGGAGCAGACTTCTCCTATAATTGCTAAATGCTATGGTTTCCTCCAAAGAAGTGCAAAGGAGTTCAGATCACTTCCATGCATGAGCGTCTGCCACTTCCCACTATAATTTCCTAAGTTGCCTTGAAGTCGTGCTACCTGTGGGATATTAAGGGAGGCTTCTGCGCAGGCCGACTGAAGGCTCTACACAGAGCAGCTCCAATGAATTATGCATCACAGCAATATTATGACTGTCAGTGATCTTACCATCCCGTCTGATGAGCTTTGCAAAGATGGGGCTGTGACTGCTGGAGAGCTCAGAGGAGCTGTCAAAGGATGTCGCAGGTAACGAGAATACCAGTGGCTCCTCACAATTATCTACAGAACAAGAGAAAGTATAGCAGGCATCAAATATAAAAGTAGTGCACCTTTAGCCTATCAGGGTTTCCCTCCCACTTTCAGTCTCTTTCTTTCTTTCCCTTGCAAAGCTGTCTGGTCACCATTAATGAGCTGCCCCTAGAAGAGATGATGCTGTTGATGACACATTTGTGAATAAGAGCATAAAGAGGCTGCATTTATATTTTATGCTGTTCACATGAGCTTTCAACAGTTCTTGTGGTAGCTTATGAAAGCCAGTGATGGGCTGTATCTACACTCCCCACACCCTTGGTACAAACCTGGATGCTTGCAATTATTTCAGAAGGTTGTATCAGGGCTAAGGCATTGGATGCAGCCAGTGGGCTGGATCCCTCCATCTCCCACCCTCCACAGGTTAACTTTGACAGGTTAACTTTGGCAGTCATAATGACACTGGGTGATTGACATCTGCCGAAGTTCAACTGAAGAGAACTTACAGCGGCATTCTTTGAAGGTGCAGTCCCAGTGCCAATCAGCAAATTGGAGATAGGAGTGTGCCTTCAAAGAGGCTGACTCCATCAGCACAGAGCAGTTTTTTGTTGGAGTGGCTTGTTAGAATGGAGGGGAAAGGATCCATTTTAGCAAGGGGTTTCAGTTCAAAACACTGTATCCACAATGCTATGTCTGGAAGGCTGGACACCACTTTGTGCAAGGAGGATGAGTATACTATGCCAAATAGTGTGGCATGCCTTTCCAAGTGGATGGAGCTTTCTGCAAGTCCTGTTCCAGCACTCACAACCTCTTCAGAAGCACATCTGCTGAGGCATCTACAGACAGCTGCCTCACTGCATATGTAAGGATGGGTAAAGAAGAGGACAGAATTCACAGTAAAATAATGTTTATATTAGGCCTCCAACCAATCTTCATAGTCCATAATCAAGATTCTGAGTCGGGCAAAACTCTTTCTCAGGAAAAGCCCAGTGCTAAGCCCTTGTTTTAAGATGGCAAAGAGAAAATCTTTCAGACTTAATTAGTGTATGCCACAAGTTGTACAGGTCTTCTCCACAGTATATGAGGCCCATCAAGAACCAAATAATTCAATTTTATTTTGTAGAGAGTGTGCATTTTGGAATGTTAGTCATGTTGTGTGGGGGTTTTTTTTAATGATTGACTTAAACCATTAAATTTCTATTGCTCCTATAAGATAATCAATGAGAATATTGGATAATTTGGTCTAAAAACATCCTCATCACTGAGCCACAGATTTCCATATACTTTTGAACCCACAATGCAAATGAAGCTAGTGACAAAAAAATAAAAATGCTTTGCTCATTTCCTATTCTACTGCATGCCTACTGTCCTAGTTAGTATATATAGCCATGAATTTCACTCAAGCATAAACCCACAGATATTCACTGAATCTCCCTTGGAGGGAAACTTGAGTATATAATTAGTGGGGAAATCCTGCAGGTTAGCAAAATCTCAGACTTCACAAGCATCTTCCAGCTCTTATAAATATGGCTAAATACATTTTAAAATGTGTTAATGCTGCATTAAGGTTAGGAGAGTCAAGGAATGGAAAGCTTCAGGCTCTCACAATAACATTAATTCACTGCATATTTTAAATTAAAATGTAAAATAGAGGAACTGGGTGTGTTTTTTCAGGGATAGATCTCCTGAGTTGTGCCGAGCAATCTTCCAAAAGGTAATCCTTCTCTCTGAAGACCATTAATCCATAAATAGATTATAAATGCTGGACCTTTGCACACACATCTACGAGTAACCTGGCAAAACCAGGACAGTTCAAGCAGGAGAAATGGGGTTGGTTCAAGGCAGTGAATCAACAGTAGCTTTCCCTTACTGTGGTTCTTACAAAATGAGCCCTTTGCATGGGTTTTCACAACAATTATGCCAGAAGCTAGTTCCAGAATTTACAAAGATGTCAGATGCTCAAAAGTGGCATGCTTTATCTTACTTGTAGAATTTGAATTCACTTGCAGTTCTAACATTTATAACCACAGCATATGTTTCAAGGAATACAGCAGCTTTTACTATTACAACTTATTCAGCATTGTCCTCACCCCCTCCAAGATGGTGCTCTGCGCACTGACAAGCCTGTAAAACTGGTGCTCAGCATAAATAGAGTCTTCACTGCCTAGTAAGTCTTCTCCTTTGAACATTTTGGAAATGTCTCCTTCTGCTGGTGCTGGTCCCTTGCTAACAAAATATGAGCCCACCTCTTTTGGTTTTCTTGGGTTTGTTTTTTTAAAAAATAAATACTTTCAACTTCATTTGCTAAACTGGTACACTCCCAGCATCTAATAAATACTTGTTTTGATTTTATTATTTAAATATTTATAAATCACATTTTCATAGAAAATTTAACAAGGTGCTCTACAACATGCCCCATGATATTCTTGTAAAGAAGCTGGTAAAATGCGGACTTGACTATGCTATCACTCAGTGGATTTGTAACTGGCTGACTGACCAAACCCAAAGGGTGCTCATCAATGGTTCCTCTTCATCCTGGAGAAGAGTGACTAGTGGGGTGCCACAGGGTTCTGTCTTGGGCCCGGTCTTATTCAACATCTTTATCAACGACTTGGATGATGGACTCAAGGGCATCCTGATCAAAATTGCAGATGACACCAAACTGGGAGGGGTGGCTAACACCCCAGAGGACAGGATCACACTTCAAAATGACCTTGACAGATTAGAGAACTGGGCCAAAGCAAACAAGATGAACTTTAACAGGGAGAAATGTAAAGTATTGCACTTGGGCAAAAAAAATGAGAGGCACAAATACAAGATGGGGGACACCTGGCTTGAGAGCAGTACATGTGAAAAGGATCTAGGAGTCTTGGTTGACCACAAACTTGACATGAGCCAACAGTGTGACGCGGCAGCTAAAAAAGCCAATGCAATTCTGGGCTGCATCAATAGGAGTATAGCATCTAGATCAAGGGAAGTAATAGTGCCACTGTATTCTGCTCTGGTCAGACCTCACCTGGAGTACTGTGTCCAGTTCTGGGCACCACAGTTCAAGAAGGACACTGACAAACTGGAACGTGTCCAGAGGAGGGCGACCAAAATGGTCAAAGGCCTGGAAACGATGCCTTATGAGGAACGGCTAAGGGAGCTGGGCATGTTTAGCCTGGAGAAGAGGAGGTTAAGGGGTGATATGATAGCCATGTTCAAATATATAAAAGGATGTCACATAGAGGAGGGAGAAAGGTTGTTTTCTGCTGCTCCAGAGAAGCGGACACGGAGCAATGGATCCAAACTACAAGAAAGAAGATTCCACCTAAACATTAGGAAGAACTTCCTGACAGTAAGAGCTGTTCGACAGTGGAATTTGCTGCCAAGGAGTGTGGTGGAGTCTCCGTCTTTGGAGGTCTTTAAGCAGAGGCTTGACAACCATATGTCAGGAGTGCTCTGATGGTGTTTCCTGCTTGGCAGGGGGTTGGACTCGATGGCCCTTGTGGTATCTTCCAACTCTATGATTCTATGATTCTAAGAAAGCATAATACATCCCTCTATATCTATAATAAAAATGTAACTATGTCATCACACTGCAGTTCTCTTAGCCACAGACAAGTGGTGCTGTGAACAACAGTGTGTTAAGGGGCAGTGGATAGGCAGCCCAGACAAACCATGGGATAACCAAAATAGGCTGCACCAAACCCCAACCTCTGCTGGCCAGTTTGGGGGCCCATGCCTCAGGATCCAGAACCTCAGACCAGTTAGAACCACTAGTGATCAAATTCCACCTCCCTGGCCAGCTTAGGGATTTGCTGCTTCTGCTGCCTCCCACCCCTGTTCTAAGGGGTTAGTATGAGGGGAGTGGGAGTTGAAAAGGGGTGGGGGTGGGGAGAATTTGATGGGGGAGGGAGGGAGGGTTGGCAAGCGGTGTGAGATGATGTGCAGCCCCTAATAGTACAAGAACATCAATACCATCTCAATAAAACTGGATAGCAAAAAGTTCCAAAGGACTGTTTCAAAAGTACAGTTCCGCAAAGAAACCAGGGGTGACTGCTAGCTGACTTCTATTGGCAAGGAGTTCCACAGTGCAGGGCCTGCCACACTCAAGGTTCAGTTCCTGGTGAAAGCTGACTGAACTTGAGGGAAATGAGGGGAACCAGAAGTGCCCCATCTCAGTGGGTGAGGTGAAGCATAAGAAATCAAAAAGTCATTGAAATACTTTGGGCCCAAGTTGCTTTGGGCTTTGTGGATCAACACAAGAATCTGGGAAAATGGTCTACCTCAAATCAGCAAGGAGTGCCGTTCTCTCAACAAAGAAGTAATATGTTGCCACTACCCTGCTTCTGTAAGCAATCTGGCCACTGCATTCTACACTAGTTGCAGATAGGGCATCCCCACATAAAGTGTTTTTTTTATACCCATGTTCATGCATTTGTCTTACATGACTTTACATACATATGTTGCACAAATAGCATACTCAAGCATGAGAAGAAAGGACTTAATACCAGTGAATAGTCAAAATGGTTTCACTTAAAGGTTTATTCTAGGGAAAAGAAACATGCTGGGATTGTGAAAATTTATGATTACCTAAGCACCCGCACAAGGAAGTAAGTGCTGCACATCCTTAATCTCAAAGAAAGTGGCATATTCCTGAGGGGAATGAGTTATGAAATATTCAGCTTAGAATGCAAATATTCAGCTTCGAATGGACCTCACAACAAAACGTTATAGTGGATATCTGGTGTATGTGTCTTTACAGAGCATCGGTCTGTGGGGACTGGGGGGAAAAATCACAAGCATCAAAGCTACGACTCTTTCTTCCAAACACATACGTTACAAAGACATAGCACAGCTGTAATGCTCACCACCTGGATGTTGAAAAAGCTACCCTCAATACTCCATTGTTTGGGCAATAGAAGAGAATCCCAGGTTCTTGTAAATTCATTAAATACAATCATTCTCTCAGTAATCTTTACAAAAATGCTAGAAAGTGGGCCAGTATTATATTTCAAGGAGGGGTTCAGTCAGAGACAGAGACA